ATGTCAACCAAAATCGTCTTCACTGTGACCGCCGCCTTCAGAACACGCTAAGGCTACGGTCAGAGTGAACATGAATTCAACCAAAGAAAAGTTAAGAGTGCAAACAGCAGACTTCATGACGAGTAATAATGTTAACCCTTTCTGAAACTGGCTTCCACATTATTCTTAAAATGTTTACATATATGCCACAAGTAATTCAATTATGAACAACTTTTCGGCGAAAGCTAAATCTAATGAGAAGTTTCTTTTTCCACTAGCGAGATTTGCTTTCCGGGTTTCGATTCAGAGGAGAATAAGCACGTTGTTCAAGTTCATGACGCACTGCTCAGCTTGACTGAAGCTTAAATTCAGGATTGGACAATTTCAATAGAGTTTAGTTTTATTTTTAGTTAGTTTTTTTCATTAGAGTTTAGTTTCATTAGTTTTCCAGTTACTTTGACTTTGTTAAAGATGGTGAGATATCAAAAGCGTCTGTAGTGTTAAACACGAATTTAATTAAACATCATCATGAATGTAGTCTGGAAGATTTTCATAATTTAAACGTAACTAAATTGAAATTATTAAGATAATTAATTTTATAAAATTAATGGTTGACGCAATTGACAATGGATTTCTTTGGCTTTCAATTTTTGTTTCAGAGAATCCACTGCAGCAGATGCTTCAAATCAGAGGATTCTCTGCAATATAGCGTAGTTACAAAATAACTAGAAATTATTTTAACATTGTGAAAAAGGATGTTGCATATTTCAAGATGCCAAACTAATTTGGGTAATTTAAAAAATATTTTGAGTAAATTGAATTTCCGTGTTTACATTGTAAGTGATAATTGTTTTCGTTTTGAGATTGAAAAGTTGAAGCATTAAGAAATTTGAAACTACACTAAAGGAATTTTATGTACATGGTGCAACAGTTTCCGATTTTTATAAATGGTTTTAAAAAGATTTAAATGCATAAATTTGTGATTTAGGAATTTTGTGAACTTTTCAAAATTGTATGAAAATGTGTATTGTGTAATAAAAATATTGTAAAACAGTGAAGAAAGTTCGTTTACAATTTTTGTGAAAAAAAAAATCTGAATGAAAACGTTCTGGGATAATTTTTAAATTATTTCCTTGGATAATTTGGAGCAAATGCCGCATTCGACATATCTCACTGCGGTAGCATTGTTCCTACTCCCATCCTAAATCACACAATTTATATTTACATATTTTCCAAATTTTGAGAAAGTTTGCACAGACTGACTTAGAACATGACTTATCAGATAACAATTTAATGGTATAAAATTTGGATGGAACTCCAACATACTTCTCAGCATGATCAGACCTTTAAAGTTGTATAGACCTTTGTAGCACATCTCTAGCACCTCCACCGTTTGCAACGTACAATGGTGTTCAATAGAATGTTTATATCATAGTGACCATTACCCAATATTAATGACATTGGTAACCAACACCTGCACTACTAGCCAATAACAACTCTATTAACCAATTAAATAACAATTAAACATTACTGATTGGTCATCATGCAGAAATCATATGTCATCAAATTAAAAATCTTGACCCGGTATCAACCAACATTCATTTATCAATTGACCAAATATTACAAATATTTACAAATATATGTCAAGCTGCAGATACTAACCTACCTAGTGTAAAATTGTAATCTAATTCAATGAAAAAGACTGTGCCGTGGTAGAATAAAAATTTTGAACAAAGTGTAAGAGATAAAAAGGTCTGCAACAAATTTAAAAAACATAGGACGGAAGAAAATATAATAGTGTTTCATAAAGCATCGGCAAGAGCCAGGTAAACCATAAAAAGAGAGTTAGTAGCAATTTTCCAAGATTCTCTATATTTTAATCAAAATACAACAACGAACACCTTCTGAAAATTCAAGTCAATCATTCATCATGAACTTTCAAAACCATAATTAATATGGAAGGCAACCTCACCAATAGACATTGCTAATACATTAGCACATACATTTGCAAGTAACTCCAGCAAAAACTAATTAGTTTCTACGATACAAAAATTCCTCTGAAGATACTGAAGTCAATATACTGAATGATTTAAATGAAAATAACTCCACTCCCACATCAGCTTCTCTAAACTCACTTTTCAATATGACAGAATTACAGTCAGCTCTAAAAATGAGTAAAAATACCTGTCCCAGGCCAGACAACATTCGTATACAACTTATTAGGAACACTACCAAACATAAGAATTGAATACCTATTACAAATTTATAACTATATATGGACATCCCATTCATTCCCAAACATATGGAAACAAGCTATAGTAATTCCATTGGTGAAACCAAGTAAAGATAACACGTTACCAAACAATTATAGACATGTCTCACTAACATGCAACCAATGCAAACAGCTCGAAAAGATAATAAACCGAAGACTGAAATGGGTTCTAGAGAGTAATCATTGGATCACCCGAAATCAATTTGGATTTTATCAATTTCGTTCAATGCTTGTTCACTTGAATCATATACATACATATATTTCTGTATCCTTTAATAATAATCAATATTGAATAATAGTGTCCCTAGATATCGAAAAAGCTTATGATATGATTGGAAGCACCGCATCATAAAAATATTCATTTAAATAGGATGCAAGGGACATACATTACATTCATATATAATTTTTTAAACAGATATATTCAAGTAAGAGGTCAATACCATCTTTCAGAACCCACAGAGATTCAAAACGGAGTCCCACAAGGGTCCGTCATAAGTGTCTTCCCATTTTTTAAAGCAATTAACCATATGATTGAAACATTACCCAAACCAATCAAAATCCGAGATTTTTTAGAAAGTGTCACATTTGTATGTGTTGCAAGAACCAAATCAATCTATTGACAAAAACTTCTAGAACAATCCCTGAACCCAAACTCTTCCTAGGAAAGAAAGAACTAAAACAATGCAAAGAAAATTATGGGTCTTATTTTTGATACCAAATTATCATGGAAATCATACATTAGAAACCTCGTCATTCACTGCAAGTAACGTATCAACACCCTGCAAGCTGTATGCTCCAAAATTAGGAAGCTAACCAAGACATCTTAATGAACAGATACAGATCATTTGTTCGAGAAAAAATAGATTATGGATGTACAATATACAGTTCAAAAACTCCATCGTAACTTTATTAGATTCTATACAAACAACTTCAATAAAAATAGCAATTGGAGCCTTCCGCAGTAGCCCAAGATGGAGTATTCTAGCAGAAGGTCATGAATTACCATTAAAGTTAAGAAGAGAACTTCTAACCCTTAAATATACATCAACCATCTGTCTTAAAAATAACCCTATGCACCACGAGCAAATATCAACATCAAATGATTATCAACAGCACATCAATAACCTTCCAAAACCTCTATGTATAATAAGTACTATCAAGAACGATTTTTCACTCAAAGAGAATGTCTCAATACCACGTCAAATTCACCCAGTTTCGCTATTGGAGGAACTCAAATTTATAATTGATAACCATATTCTGAATGAAACGTATGGCAAAAACAATAGTCCTAACATTGTGTAAAAACTCTTATTCAGATAATTATCACATAATTATATAAACTTCACCCACATATATACAGATAGATCAGTGATAGATTGAAAAAAATGGATGTGCCATTATCTACGAAGACCAAGAACTTAAATTCGAATCGACAGATTAGTTTTCAATATTTTCCTGCGAAGCTTTTGCTACAGATAAATCCATAGATATAATCACAAATTCGGAACTAAACGGCTATAATTTTTACTGACTTTAGATGCATTAAAAAACATGGGAACAAAATTCAAGAATACAAAGAAAATTACATTTGATGGAACATAATATCAAAATAGTCTTGGCATGGATCCCAGCTCGTCGAGGGATATTAGGAAATGAAAAAGCAGACTCAGCAGCACAAAAAAGCTATTTCCCAAGAAATCGATTGTACAAAAGAACCAATTACTGTAGAAGAACAAAAAGGGCTATAAACCAATCCATCTGGCAAAAATGAAACATAATGTGGGAAAACTCAAGGTAAAAATTAAATTTGGTCCGTAACAATGTGTGGGAGCATCAACCATGCATCAAGAACTGAAAGATTCAATGTGTTTTTACCAGCATACGAATAGGTCACTCCAACTTGACTCGCTCTCATCTCATGTCAAAAACACCAGTGAACAAATGCCCTAAATGTGAAACTTCAATCACTATTTTCCACATTAACAGAGTGTAGTAGTTACCAATATGAAAGAACTGGATTGTCTGAGAACATCAAGAACTGATTGGACGACATTGAAAGTGTGCACCATGTTATTAACAAATTGGTGTGCTAAACTCTATATAAGAACTAGTTGTAAATCATTTTTTGAACTTTGTAACGGTAAAATGTAACTAAAGTAGCTAATAACCCAGCAGTCTATGCGACTATAAATAAATGGGAAAAAAATACAAAAATCTCCATGTTCAATATTGTAGTCCTCGAAACTTCGCCAAAGTCTTATCAAGCGAAACTGGGGTTTCGAGCCTTGGCTCCAAGAACCCGCGGCTCAGACCTCGTCTTAGAAATCCACCGTATATGTTACTTTATGTAATTCAATGATTTTTCTCAAATTATTTTGCGAACGCGACTAGATTTTGCTATACATCGGTCGAAATACCTATGCGCGAATATCTATCTTCAGATGACTTCTAAAAAAAAATACTCCCCTTCTATGAAGCTATCCTTATAGCAATCCCTTCGTAAATACGGAGTCTGAGCTTAAATCCCAAAATTACTTTAATAAAAATCGTTATTATATATCTATATGATTATCATCTTCCAACATATAATCCGGCATAATATTAATCTATAAAAGAAGACGAGAGACTGCTCATTTCGCCCTTCCCATAGAATCACGACTTTCAACGCCTTCTGTAAACTTAAAGCATGTAATGACTACGCGGCCGTTATGTCGCGCAACAGTATGACGCTCTTACATCAAACAGGGAATCTTGTATTTGTTAATTCGTTGCCTTAACAACGTCCATTCTTTTAATTTTAAACGTTCTGCATGCGTTTAATGCCATCGTAAATAAACGCTTATAGCAAATTCTTCCATGCAAAATACCGTGAGGTCTCGGGGTTTATCACACAGATACAATATCTTAATAAATGTTTGGTTTTCTGTTCAGTTTATATGATTTTTTGGTGATTCTACGGTCTGTTTGTAGTCCTAAATAAGTCACAGGAGCTGAAGAAGGAAGCCATGGTGTGAGTGAATTGCTTAACCTTATTGCATTAATATTCTATAATTTTTATAGAATTTTTATAGAAACAATTTTTGCTTGTCATTTTGATGAGTTGATATCAACTTTCCATTTGTTGAACTAGTTAAAATATTTAAATTCTCTTGCATGCTGTCTCGTGTGTTTATTTGATCTTTATGTGCATTGAATATTGAAATATCACCTACGAATTTAATGGGGTACAAATGTTTGAGATAAACTAAAGTAATGTAAGAGCTAGTATCTCGTTTTCGTATCGTATCATGAAAGATGCTCAGATTACTACACTCTCTCGGCGTACGTTGTCAGTTCTCATTTAGCTATGTATGCCAACTCTTGAAGGGTGTGCTCGGTAAATCAAACTACCCAGCCACTTATTTAGTTAATTACGTTCTGAACTAGGGACTAATCAAGCCGAAAATACTTACCGATCGTTTCCCTTATCCTCCAAAAGCCTTAATTGCAATTAATCTAGAACAGATTTTCTAAATGGAATTTCTCACTTTAAAGCGTTCTCACTTTAAGCTTAATGCAATAGTAACGTAATATAAACATTGCCCGCTTCTCAGTAGCCCAGCGGTGCTTCCCCTATAATTCGCAAATGGGTTGGGGGAGAACCGTTAATGCACACAGTGAAGCATACCCTTGACCGCCCAGCTCAGGCCATTACACGAACAAACACGGGTTCGTCATCCGGCCGCGGCGAGGCGCGCGCGAATGTCCGCAAATGTTATGGGCCCTTCTCTGCACTTCGCTTTTCTTCACTCGCAAGAAAATTGTAGAATTATTCGGGA